GATGCAACATTTTCTATCAAAAAAAAAAAAAGCGGAAGCCCCTCCAACTGCACAATAACTGTGGGTGTATTAGCATGATGATTTAAATTCTTTGTAAGTCATAATTGGCTAAGAAAGAAAATTTCCCTAAATAATGTCAGAAAGAGGGTAGGTTGTCTACGTGCAGAATAAGTGAAAGAAACAGAAAAAGGAGGAAGGGCTCAGGGCTCCTTCTGCTTTGTGGTTGTGGCTCAGACTAATTCTGCCCATGCACGTCTGAAGCAGGAATGCAAGTTCACAGCAGTGTCGTCATTTCTCAAGGCTCATCTTTTTCCCCTACACAGGAGGCCCCGACATTCAAGCTAGGCTTGTCTGAAGAATTTGTACTGATGCATGGTTTTATTTGAAGACTTCACTTATCTTCTGGGCTTCACACCCTCCTAGAATAATATCCCAATCTATCTCCTCTGTCCTTGAGAAGATTTTTCCATTTTAAAGATATGTGTGTTTGCTCTGCCCTCTGCCATTATATTATGTTATTGACCACTGCCTGTGCGCAATTGTTTAGTGTTGATCACTGGATAGTTCTGGAATGTTTGAAAAATTACACAAACCCAGCTGTGATTGCACTTGTGTTATAGTTAAGAAGCCTAATACTGTCTGTGGGACAAACGGCCCTGGAATGTCACTGTATCCACCAACAGCTTGAATGTGATTGAAATCATCATTTTTTCCCCCTTAAAGCAACTTGTTTGTGATCTCTTCTGTCTTTAACTGTAATACCTAGTTTCAAAGGTTTTAGGTGGTCTTTCATTTCTTTTTTCTAATGCTTTGTAACAATTGCAACACTTAAGTCATTTTGATTTGCCTGTGGAATACCATTATCACATTTGTTCCTCCTTTTCATCGACCATTTATCACCTTACTCTTAATTACTTCAAAGTAGGATACTTCCACCATATCACTATTTGTTGTCCAAAATCTAAATTCTTTTCTCAGTAAACTCTCAGAAACTCTGTGGATACTCTGTCTATGCCATTATTCGATGAACATAGCTACACCATGTTTGGCACCAAGGAATTCATCAAGGTAGTTTGAAAACAGGGACAAACTGAATAAAGTTAAGTTCTTGAAGGGAAAATGTGTGTGTTCACTTAGTGGTGCTCAGGGACTAATCCTGATCCCAGGTTCCTGGGTTCCTCCTGGTAGGAGACTATAGGCTTGAACCAAGACTTCTGGCTTGAAACCATGCGTGGCAGGTCTTTGAACTGTCTCCCACAATGTCTTTGGAGAGAAAAGTTTAGTTTTTATCAACCTATGCAAATCTTTAACTCAGTCGTACAAGTTCACATAGAATTCTCAATGCACAATGTTATTTCTCCACAATTTCTAGTGCCCTGGTATTTCTCATTGTGTGTTTGGAATATCAACCATGCATTTCTTCCAACATAAATCTGCTTTTCTTGGTCCCAGTTTCAACTATTTACTAGGAACACCTCTTCTTAAAGAATTCACTAAGAAAATGAATCATCTATTGAAAACATAAGCTCAACTATTTTCTTTCTTAAAATTTCTGCAGTTTTCCACTTTTGGAATATATAATTGCCAACTGGTGCATTGTTAGGAGTGTGTTCAAATTCTTTCACTAGATCATTTAAGGGACAAATAAAGTATCCTGCTGTCAAAAATTTAGCTTGGTGGGTGTGTTTTGATGATAGCCCAGAACAGGAAATGATACCTAGTCACCTAAATCTCACTTTCACAAGTACAAGTCAACACTGAGTAACCTATATTTAATATGTTCCTCTTGTACTGTGCCTTAAAAATTAGGTGAACTAGTCATGATGACTTTAATTACAGGCATTATTAGCTCTTCCAACCCCCACTGCTCAAATATCATTCAGTCTACAACTAACTTTGGTGACTTTAATGAACCTGAACTCACAAGCATATCTGTAAGTGTCTAGAGAATGATATTAAGTGGTTTCAACTGAGGATTCTTAGTCTAGACCAGAAACAGTGTCTTATCCTATTCGCCAACATGATGGCAAAATCCTATCCAAAAATTTATAAGAAACTTACATTAATGCAACTCAACTGATGTTACTTCTGGTCTAAGTCCCTTTGTGTGTTGTATATGGCCTAGATATCTTTCCATTTTCATTCCTACCACATGTACTCCTCATGTTGCACACCATGACCACCAGTTAGTTTTCAGTTCCCTGGAGTGCTAAGCTTCCCTTCTCCAGTTCTTCCTGCATGAGCCCTCTCTCCTGCCTGATTTTTGTCATTTCCTTCCTTGATCAATTCCTGTCATACTTAGAGACTTAACACGTAAGAGAGTTCTCTGATCTGGCAAAACAGATAAATCTTCCTTGTACTCTTCTATTCCTTAACTCAATTGTAGTTACATGTTTACTATAAAATATGTTCCTTATTAGCTTATAATCTCTAAGTAGCAAAAAGCCTACACAAGTGTAAAATGTGGTAATATTTTAATTGCCTAAAGTAAACACTAATGCATACTAGAAGCTCAAATGAATAAATGAACATGCATTTTATGAATAACTGTCTTATAAAGCTGCTGGAGAGAAAAACTATTCAAATATTACTTATATCAGATTCCTAGTCTCCTTTTCTTTCCTGAATAGACAGACAGTATTATCTGGATTACATAAAACACACAACATATAATGTGAGGTCACTACAAATTTTAGAAAATGGAGTCAACAAAGGGCTTAAGACAATCAGATGAAACACACACATATTTTGACTTCAAATTTTATAAAAACAAGTGTAGGTAATATCCCAAGAGGCTTGGAGCACGTGCATTTATTAGGGAGCCTTTGGTACATGCCCAAGAAGTGCATGGTCTCCTAGTCCCACTGGGAGTAACACCTGTGCAATGAACCAGAGTAGTCCCTGAGCATTACTGGGTGTGGCGCCCAAACAAGATCAAAACCAAAACACAAGCCCAAATGGCGAAATCTACAAGAAAAAAATAACTTGTACCCAGACAGAATATAACCAATCTAATACTAAGAAAATGTAAGCATGTTCGTTTTGTATAAAATGGTCTCAGGTGTTCATACTAATATGGCTATTCCTGTAATTCTTTTGAATATTAAGTTATTTTACAAATGTATAGAGATGGGTTTTAAAAGGTGAGAAAACGGTTAAGTATGAAATGCCTCCTATCTGGAGCCTTTTAGCATATGATCATCAGTCTCTTACATCTCTATGATCTGCCCTCAAGTAACCCCACTGGCCTGTGCATGATCTGTCTTTCTTCCTGCAACCTTAATTTCCACTGCTGAGTCAGACAACTGGAGAGCACATTAAGCACCAGCTAAAATGGCGACTTTTCTGGTCAAAACTCATTCCTGAAAAATGCAAGTTTTGATTATTTTTCTTTCTTTTTCTTTTTTTTTTTTTGGTAACACCCTGTGATGCTCAGGGGTTACTCATGGCTTTGCACTCGGGAATTACTCCTGGTGGTGTTTGGGGGACCATATGGGATGCTGGGAATTGAACCTGGGTTGGCCACATGCGAGGCAAATGCCCTACCTGCTGTGCTATTGCTCCAGATCCTTGATTATCTTTCTATCGATGCTCAAAGTTCACCAAATTTGAGGTGAAAAATTTAAGTTTCTTACACTCTCATTTATATTTTCCTCACTGTTCATTCAGAGCTATCATGAGTACATGTATTAATTAGTTTGTTAGGCCCTTCACCAGGATAAATCATTGCTCAGTGTAAAGAAGGACTGGAGAAAATAGGATTTTATTGTGGAACTATTTTCAGTACTCTGAATAGATCTCATTGCTCTTCCTTATTTTTCTCATACCCACATTTAAAAAATATTAGTACTCTTTACTCAGACAACAGCATTATAAATATACCTGTACATTTTGAAAGTAGGAATCACATGTATACCTAACTCATATCAAAAAGAGTTATATTTGGATGGCATAAGTCTTTTTTTGACAGTGACTGACCTTCACACTTTCAGATTATCACAGTCATCACTGTAGGTGACAAAAGGTTCATGAACACAATTATTCATCTGCAACCCCACATCAGCCAGGTATTTGCACCTTCTATTATTGCCAGGACTTCAGTGTTAGAATATGTTTCTGGAACATTTTTCTTGACTATTTCATTTTGCTTAGAACTATGTAAGAGCTGAGGATCTCTGTGGTAATATCTACCTTGAATATCTTTGAATATGCTCCCCTAGTATCTCCTTAAGAGATACTTCACCTTAAGAGACCTTGGCAAGGAAAGACAGCATTCATGGTACATTGTAGCTTTTCCTGTGTGGTTACTTAAAGATCAAGTCTCACATTTAAATGACTTTTTCTTTTGGATATTAAATCCAACAGCTCAGTTCCAGTAGGTCTGGAAGACCCATCCAAATTCTACATAATTTATTATTAGTTTTCTATTCTCTTCACAACTCTCAGAATTTAACTTAGGCTCTTCTTTTTGCCTTAATCTAATGACACTCATCTGTGGAAGATGAATCTAAAGAATCTATGTAAAATTCTTTCCATCTGGGACTTAGAATTGGTGATTAAAATAGCTTCTTCTTTCCTTTATTTGCTCTTTTGACAGTTCTCAGAGTCCCCTCTCTTCCTCCAAAGTCTTTGTTCAACAGATTTCTTACCAGACTCCTTCCTAGCAGGGTTCAGCACTATGACAGGGGTGCATTGCTCAAGCATATCTTCATGCATATCATGAAAAATGGCAGATCTAGACAGAGCAGCAGACAAAGGATGGATAATGGAGAGAAAAGCCATGGGAAAATGGAGAGACAGAATGATTGAAATGATAGTGTGGACCAGAAGTTGATAAATAAAGGTTAACTGAAGAAAGCACTAACGGAGGAAAGAAAAAACAGTCTTATGTGTCCATATGTAGGGCAGAAGCAAGAGTCACAAAGACTCAGAATACAATAGAAGCTTACAGAACACAAATTCAAAGCAATGTTGGATAGGAACATTTGCTGTACACTTACCTGCAGATGTCTTGAGTAGATGGACAGACCGACAACCTTGATTGGCTCCTGGGTGCTGTTCCTATTGTTGGGCTGCTCGCCTGGAGAAATAAGTTAGATAATTTGGCATCTTGGTTAAGATAGTACATAGTCGATATCTTGCTTTTTTTCCACATATTTAAAAAATTACAGCAAACGTGGCTGCCAGTCATGTTGCTCATAACAGCTCACAGAATACAGGAAACTCAAGGTTCGTTTTGCAAAAGTAAAACTGATTTGAGGAACTTAGACCATCTGAGAGGCTGTCCTACTTTGCTGTTGCTTCATTTATGAGAGAGGAAGGCAATGCCACAAGTTTCTATTCTACTTGCTGTAAACTTTACTGTAAACTTTTGGTTCAGTTTGCCTGGAAACACTGATATCTATAGATAAGATCTGATGATCTACAGAAAGACTATTACTTGACAAGGATGATGATAATCTGGAAGCTAAAAACCAGATAGCCATAATTAGGTTGCTAAATAACATCTGGAATTAACAATAAGTGATACTGATACCAGGAGATACTATATCTTCAAACACTTTGTAAAGTCTAAGTGCATGCATTTTATCTCTTATTTCAACCTCAAGATAAATAAAAATCTATTCATTACAACACTATCTTTTACATCTGTTAGCCCTGTGTCCATACTAATTCTGAAATAAGAGAGCTTGAAATATCTCAGATGAATAGAACAAAGTTTTAGTTATTTTCTTAGCCTCTACATTTGAAATCTGGTATTATTCTATTTGGTTTAGCAAATTTGTATTTGCAACAAGTCATGATCAATGAAAAGTTAAAATATGTCAATAATTTATGGTTAGTCTTTGTACTGTGCTTTTGTCTGCTGTTTTATTTTCTTTTTAATCCTCTAAAAATGTGGTGAGAATATTAAACCTGAATGTTAAAGTCAGTATGAAAATTTCTAGTGTAGAGCTTTACTGAGAAAAATGTGGAATCCAGAGATCCAGAAGAAAGAAAACCTAATTGTAACATAGAAGTGCAGAAAACTTTTCCAGAGGATACTTGCTATGTTTTTACATCCTTGGGTGTTTATCTTTATGCCACGGTTGATGATGTGATGGTCTCGGAGCTGGAGATCTAAATCACATTCTGCTTGTGGTAGCCTCAGTTGATGTGCCAAATATGTACCCAAGCACTGCTTGTAGTAACTCTTGATCACAGAGCTTGGAGTAGCTACCAAGGACAGCCAAGTAAACTCCCCACTAAAAATAATTATTAAGCATCTTGATTTTAATTTTTGAATTTTATCTCTTTTACCTTACTTCCAAGGAAGAATCTCATTGAGTGTATAGCCATTGTAATGCAATTTATTATCAATTCAGGTAATTCATAGACATAGCATCTGGGAAATTATTCTGAACTATATTTGAGAAATAAGTTTCGATTTTGACTAACCTAATATATATAATATATATTTGTAGATAAATATATGTATATATGGCTGGAGTGACAGCACAGCGAGTAGGGCATTTGCCTTGCATGAGGCTGACCCAGGTTCAATACCTCCACCCCTCTTGGAGAGCCTGGAAAGCTACTAAGAGTATCCCACCTGCACAGCAAAGCCTGGCAAGCTACCCATGACTTATTTGATATGCTAAAAACAGTAACAAGTCTCACAATGGAAACGTTACTGGTGCCCATTCAAGCAAATCCATGAACAATGGGAGGACAGTGCTACAGTGTTACTTGCTATGCTAAATAATGTCAATATCCTAACACTTGTAACTTGGAAATGTTTTATATATGGTAAAAGACTGTCACTGTCACTGTCCTCCTGTTGTTCATCGATTTGCTGGAGCGGGCCCAGTAACATCTCCATTGTGAGACTTTGTTGTTACTGTGTTTGGCATGTCGAATACATCACGAGTAGCTTGCCAGGCTCTGCCGTGCGGGCGAGATACTCTTGGTAGCTTGCCGGGCTCTCCGAGAGGGGGGGAGGAATCGAACTTGGGTCGGCCAAGTTGGCTGTGTGCCCTACCGCTGTGCTATTGCTCCATCCCCATGGTAAAAGAAATGTTAAAAATTTGATTGTAAGTTAAAATCTTGAGATAGCAACATTATCTTGGATTTGCTTCTCAGGCCCAGTGTAACCACAAAGATTCTTATAATGTGCAGCAGTACAGCTAGGTTCAAAGAGAAGAGATGGAAAGATAAATAATAAAGGAGGATGCTTTACTTCAGAGTTTGAAAATCGAGGGAAGAACCTGTAAGTCAAGGAATGCACAATCTGGATAAAAGCCAGACAATGCACTTTCTGTCCAGAACAGTTTCTTTTTATTCTTTCTTTTTTTTAAAAAAAAAATTAATCACCACGAGCTACAGTTACAAAACTTTCATGTTTGAGTTTCAGTCATACAAGGATCGAACACCCATCGCTCCACCAACTCACATTTTCCACTACCAATGTCCCCAGTATCCACCCCCCCATCCCAACGCTCCCCTTGCCTCTATGGCAGACAGATTCCCCCATACTCTCCACTTTGGGGCATTATGCTTTGTGATATAGATACTGAGAGGCTATCATGTTTGGTCCTTTCTCTACTTTCAGCACACATCTCCCATCCCGAATCATGCCTTCAAAAATTACTTACTTAGTGATCCCTTCTCTATTTCAGCTGCCCCAGCTCATTAGACAGGCTTCCAACCAATACTTCCAACCAATACTTCTGGCCTTTGTCTCTACTGTCCTTGAGTATCAGTTTCATATTATGTTATTTTATATTCCACAAATGAGTGCAATCCTTCTATGCCGTTCCCTCTCTGATTCATTTCATTTAGCATGATACTCTCCATGATCATCCACTTATAAGCAAATTTCATGACTTCATCTTTCCTAACAGCTGCATAGTATTCCGTTGTATAGATGTACCAAAGTTTTTTTTAACCAGTCATCTGTAGAACAGTTTCTTAATTTGGGGGAAGGAACATTATGGCCATCTATGAGTCCCTACTATATTCCAAGAAAACCAAAGGTGAAAACTGTGCAAAGGGGGATCACAGAATGAGACTAGGAGGAGTCAGTTTATAGGACGGGTAGAAGTGGGGGTAGGGGACCACAGGAAAACAGAAAAAGGCTTAGAAACACAGTTTAGAGGAGTTTCCCCAAGTGGGCAATACTGCCATCTAGGCAGCAGTAGTGGCCTTGCGTGTAATGGGGGAGGGGATGGGGGAGCACTTCCTGTTTGCTTATAAAAGATAGATTTCCAGAAGTGCGAAAGTAAGTTTTGTTTTTGTTTTTGGGTTATGCCCAGAGGTTCTGAGGGCTTACTTCTGGATCTGTGCTAAGGGATCACTCCTGGCAGGTTTTTGGTACTGTATAGAGTGTGGGGGCCTGGAGGCCATGTGTAAGGAAAGCACCCTATCCGCATTTTCTGTCCAGAACAGTTTACTATCTCTTCAGCCTCCTCTGAATAATTATGTTTTTACCTCTAAAAACATGGAGGTAGGTTCACATAAGATTGAGAAGCTCTGCCCTAGAACCTCTGGAAGGGATGCAGCCCTATGAAATTGGGAGAACCATGTTTGACTTCTGACTTCCCAAATGATATGATTCATTATTTTAATGTTAAGCCAACACATTTTCAGAAATTTGTCACAGTTGTGATATATATATATATATCTAACATTAATAATCTTAAAAGGCAAGTGGAAGTTATCAAGAAAGAGAATATAAGTATTCTAAGCAGAGGAAACTACATGTGGGGAGGAAAGGATGGAATTCTCATTCCCAGCAATTTCCACAAGACTGATCTGATTTACCACTATGCACTTCTCTCTTTATTTGGGTGCCATGTGCGCAGGTACTCAAGGGACCATGCTATGTCAGGGGTTGGACTGTGTTGGCTGCATGCAAGACACATGATTTAACTATCTCTCTGCCCCATACCTCTATACAACTTTGCTATATGACTTGTTTTTGTTTTTCCTACCAATCCATGAATACCTATTATTTATAAAACTCTTGCCTGTTTTTGGGTCACAGCCAGCTGTGCTCAGGGCTTACACCTGGATCTGAGCTCAAGGATTACTCTAGGCAGGAATTAGGGACCATATGCAGTTCTTGGGATCCAATTCAGGTCATTGCATGCAAAGTAAGTGCTTTATTCACTGTACTATAATTCTGACCCACTGGTACCATAAATATTTATGACTTGTCTTAAATTTTAATTAAACATTTTGGGCCACATCTGACAGTGCTCAGGGATTACTCCTGGCTTTGCACTCTGGGATCATTTCTGGTGGGGCTCGGGGGACTGCATGGGTACTGGGGATTGAAACTGGGTTGGCCATGTGCAACGCAAGGGCCATACTATAACTCACTCACCATACTATAACCCACTCACCATACTATAACTCCAGTCCAGTCCAAAAAATTTTAATTTTATTGCAGTTTTGGTAAGATGATAACAATAGTTTTAAAGTGCATGGTATTGATGTACAATATTTCTATACATCACCATCACCAAAATCCCCATAACCCTTCACCATTGTCCTATGTCACTTGTTTTATCACTGGTCATATTATAAGTAATAGGATTCACAATATAATGAACAGCATAAAAATCATTCACAGCTACTTAATGAGTGTCAAAGCCAACTCTTTGAATATGTATGTGCAAGAAAAGATGCTGAAACAGAAATAATTATAATAAAACAAATGTTTACAATCTTGCAGTTCTGAAAATTGTATATTTTCCCATGGAAAAAAGATTTATCAATGAACTAATATGAATCCTTCAAAGCACATCTTTATTTTGGAGAACTTTTTGGTCCATCATGATATTGGATCAAGTACCTTATAACCCTGCTGTACTTAGAAGTCTTTGATTCCATAAAGAATTTTCAAATAGCTCATACCCTATACTAGTTCTAAAGTGCTCAGGATGCTAAAACGGATGAGGTTAAAAATCTTTTAACTTTGGGTCCTCTCAGGATTCACTTGTAGGCCAAATACTTACCATTGAAGTGCTTGGATTCCTTGAGTTCTCTGTTCTGGGTTTTTATCTGATGCCATCTATTTTTACTTGGATGCACAGC